ATTAGGCCATATCTTAGCGTGTGTGGAGTGGCGTTATGTGCAAAAGGAGTGAGAAGTGTTGTGCCAAAAACAATGAGAAATGTGGACAAGACGGGGAAATGCATATGCCTTTGTTAACAATAGTATTGAACTATTGCCCTTATCAATGGTGTCCAACTGTGAATAGTTGTATTCACCCAGAAAGTGTGAATGATTGTACTCACACAGAAAGTGTGAGCGGTTGTTTGGGGAGTATCATATATTTTTTTAAACAATAAAGGTTGAGATCACTTTTGGGGTCACCTCCTTCACCTTCTTTGCATTTGATTGCCTAACTGTTTTTTTTTTGATTGGCTATTTTTTTTTTTTTTTTTGATCTCCCAATCCCCAACCCCTACGTGTGTGTGTGGGGTGGGGGGGGTGAGACTTTTGAGGGAGAATGAATCATTGTTGTTTTTTAAATTTTTAATAAAAAATATGTAAAAATATAAAAAAAAATAATATAATTTAAAAAAATAAAAAGATAAAAAAAAAAATATATTATTGTAGTAGTTTCCAAACAACCACTGAGAGTCGCCCACTAGCGGAGGAAAAAAAAAAGAAAAATTCGTAAAAAAAGTGTTAGAGATTCACATTTTGATTTATTAAATTTATCTGTAATGATGTAGCAAATAAGATAGACCCTAGTTTTTTTTTTTTTTTGCAACATCTAAAAAAGTCAATTTATTGGCTTGTTAGGTCACATCGATTCTCTATTTTTTTGTACGTCTTTTATATTAAGTAAAAAAACCAAATTATAAATCATATTCAAAACACTCCGAGTATATGGTTAATCAAATGTTAATACCTATCGTGTCACATCATTGTGAGTTAAATTGTGAAATATGTTTTGTGGTTCTTAAATATTTTTTGGAGTAGTAAATAACAGAGACAATTATAAAATTATTATACTATGATATAAATTTTTTCAAATATAATTATGACATACAAAACAAATACTTGCACTAAATATAAAAATAAACGTACACCATACATACAAATAGGGATGTAAAATTGATCCATTGGCTTGACTAGGCCTGACCAGGCCCAAGACCAATTTGAGACTCTGGGCTGAATAGTTTGTTTTGAGCCCCAGCCTAGCTTGGCCCATTCAAGGCCCATAGGCCCGACCTACCAGGCTCGCCTAAGGCCCATTCCCAATTCCAAACTTTTTGTTTTGGAAAAAAATAAAATTTTAATTCAAAAAAATAAAAAAAAAAATAGTTAGGTTCGGTCTAAGTTCGAGCCCAAATCCAGGCCAAGTGACCTAGCTTGAGGCTCAAGTACCCTTAGCACTAGATTTGAGCTTGGGTTTTGACCGTAATTTTACGTGAGTGGCTCGATTCAATTTTTAGAAGGAGCCCGCTATGCTCAACCACGGGCCGGCCCGACCTCAAACTTAGGTGGACTGAAATGGCCAAATTAGACTATTTTTACACTTTTACATATAAGAAATTTGCATTATTATAAAAATAAAATTATTTTGTAATACACTTCTAAAATTTCTTTAAATAAAAAAAATTTAAAAAAAAAAGTTGAGTTGGGTGGAAAAAGAAAAGGAAGTTGGAGTTACGTGTCCAAGAGGTGGCCTACAGAAACATGTGGAATTTTGTGTTGCCTGCCAAACCCAACCCGATCCCCCATCAATCAATCGACGATGTGCTCTTCATCCCCAGCAGTTTTTGTCTCACTCCCAGACAAATTATCGTGGGATCCACCCACACTGGATCACTACCTAACACTTTTCCCCGCCCCCCACATTGGCTGTTTTTCGGTGGACCCCTAACCCTCACGCCATTGCTGGAACTCGTGGCGCATTTTCCATCTCTCAATCACGAATTGACACGTGTACGGCGTTCTTTCTGTTTGTTGATAACCTTATCTTGCACCTATTGGCTGATCTCTCCACGTGTCACTATTCGTGGATCTTCTCTTTTTTATTTTTGTTTTGTTTTGTGGATCTTCTCTGCATCATCTACACATATCCCCTTTTCATTTTCTATTAAATTAATTTAATTTTTAAAGTATTAATTACTATATTACATCTTTTTCATGTCACATGTTGACTAATGGGTATATTCGGAGATGTCCGACAAAATTCAAACCATACGGAGAATATTACAAAAATTAGAGAAAATTTTATTTTTATAAATGTATAAGCCATTAGTTTGATTATTTGATTTATTTTGATTATAATAACATGATTAATGAAGTATATTAGTAAAAAGTAAAATATATTATTTTAAATGATTTTTTTTTGGTCTTCAAATCAGTGTTGTTTTTTCTTAAAAAAAAAGAAAAGAAAAGAAAATATGGGATAGCTGTTTCAAAATTTTCAAATTTAAATTTATAGTTGGAGTGCATAATTCTAAAATTGGAGCCACAATAAATGAAAAATGATTCCGTAAATGAAATGAAATGAGTTTTAAAAAATTATTATTGTTAACATGTAAGGCTTTTTAAAAAAATACTAAGGCCCCGTTTGGTTTGTGACATTTTGACTAAAAAAAGTAAAAAAATTAATACCTAGCAAACAACATTAGGGTTGGTTTGGGAAGTGGGTTGTCTTTTTCACTTTTTGATTTTTTTGGCTATTTTAGTCTGGACTAAAAAGTTTGGTTTGTGAAGAGTTTTTTGGCTTTTTGATTTTTTTGACTTTTTTGTGAGAGAAGAGTGTAATAATTATGGGTTGGATGTGATATTTTATTTTTTGTGGCTAAAATAGCTTATTTTATTTTTTGTGACTAAAATAGCCAAAAAAAATCTAATTTAGCTCTTCCCAAACGGTTAGAAATGTAAAATTCCATGAAAGTTTGATTTGTTTTAATCTTTTCCAAATTAATTAAGACATGGCTAGTTTGGGAAGTACTTTCTTGATTAAAATATGAGATGAAAAGCATTTAAAAATGACTTTTTTTTTATTTTCTATAAAATAACATGTAAAAAATAAATAGAATCATTGATTTTTTATAGGAAATTTTAATTTTTCAATGATTTTTTGATTTTTTTTAGTTAAAACTCACCGTTCCAAACACAGATTTATTCTTAAACTTCAATGAAATATAACTTTTGAATGTATTACTAATTAAAAATGATTTTAAGAATTAAACAAACAAATAAATCCTAAAAAAAATTAACAAGAAATAAAAGATAATTAAAAAAATCTTCATAAATTTTGAGAAAAAATTATGGTTTAATAAAGAAAAATGCTTCAAATCTCTTAAATTTACTGAAATGCATTATTGCATTTTTGCTGTTATTTTGTTTAAGAGTCTACTTCCTACCATGTTAGATTAAACAAATTTGAACAACTTTGATGTCAGTTACAAAAATTATAAATTAATTGGTATATGAACAAACACAGACCAGATCTGCTGCAGTTCCCACCAAATCACTAAAACATTTTCTATATTTTTTATTTCGGTCACTAAAAAAAGTATTTTTTTAAGTTGACTGTTTTAGTGTGTACCATAGGGTATATATATTTGTTTATTTTTATTTTTTTTATATTGAATATGATGTTACTGTATTAGTAAATTAGGTTAATACAACGAGAAGTTTAACGATTTGAATTGTCTACTTCGTAGACAGTGGCAAAATCAAAAATTATGTTTAGCAACAATGTTAGGTAGTTCAAAATTTTGTAATTCAAATGGCTTAAATAACTCAAAAGGACGTCGTTTTGACAGATTTTGAGTGTATGTGTAAAAAAAAAAAAAATTTGTTATGACATTACTAATAAAGATTAATTTTTTGCATAAAGATTGTGAAAAAATTACTTTATGATAAATAAAGAAAAATAAATCTAACTAGTTTTTTTCTCCCAAAACCTGGCGCCGGGGATGGCCATGGCAATCCCAGTCCCCATAGGTATGCCTAGTTCGTAAGCTTCACAATAAAATTTATTAATGTAAAAGACCAGTTTCGTCGTATAACTATAAATAGATTAACAAATTGAATTTAGTTTTATAAATAAATAGTTTAAGTTTATAATCACATTTGTTATTTATTTTTATTTATATGTTCATAAATGTCAGATGATGATTTTTTTTTAATACATAAATAACCTTTATCACAGGATCTATAATATAGACATTCGAATCATCTGTGCAAATTTAAATTGAGACTCACCAAAAATATGAAAGGATATGGAGGGATGAAAGTGTGCATGTTTGGTGCAGCTTAAAAGTTGCTTATTTCAGCTTTCAGCTTAATTTAAGCTATTTTGATGTGTTTGGTTTAGCTTATAGCTTATAGCTTTTTGGAAGTCAGAAATCAGCTTATTCTTTGAGTGGGGCAGGAGATGCTTAATTTATAAGTCAGAAATCAGCTTATGTTCATAGTTATAAGCTATAAGCTGTTTAGGCATAAGCTACAAGCACTTTTCCACAGCTCTACCAAACAGGACTAGTATCGATGAGAACTCCTCCCCCTTCATGTACTTGAAAAGAAAGATAAATTGCAAATACACTATTTAAAATTTGCTTAAAATATAAATTGTGTTAAAATATAAATTGTGTCATGTGATTATAGAAATTACATTATACTTCATGAAGTTTCAAATTTCATAATAAATAATTCATTTTATTAATAAATCACAAAGTGAATTAATAATTTTTAATGATATCATAAATTTATTTCAAATAATAGTAAAGATAATTTTATTATTGTATAGAAGAGCAGTTAATAATTTTATTTTTTCAGTTAATTCTGTTAAATAAAAAATTATGACAAGAAAATAATTTTAATTTTTCAAATGACAAAGGATAATATATATATTTTAAATAAATCTCAGAAGCTGTATTTATATAATTCACATCACTTTTTTACTTTTTTACATATTTTTTCAAAAAAAACAAAAAAAAAATTAATTTTTAACCAATTTCTTAAAATATAAAGTGGGATTTATTAATCACTCCCAATTTGCAGAAAAGAAAAAGATTGAGAGAGTGTCAAGCAAACCATGCCCATAGAGAGAGATTTGTAGGAATCTGGAAGAGTGGAGGAGTGAGTCATAAATAAATTAATTGCAAGAATCTGAAAGACTGGAGACTTCCGGTGGGTCAGTTAGTCTGGGAACGAACTGGGTGGAAGTGACCTACGTGGGTGGTGGTGGTGGTGGCGCCCATTCCAAATTCTTTTTAACTACTAATGCTTAAAACACCAATAAACAGGTGAGTACGACTTTGTTTTTTTTGTTTCTCTCTTTCTTTTTTTTACTATTATTTTCTCTCCTTTTACATATTTTCTTTTCTTTTCTCTGTTCCTCCTCCTCCTTTCATTGTCTCTGGTCATGGTTTGCGTGGAGGCCTCTAACATCTTCAACGTGTACTGAACTTTTTGAGATAGAAAAGTGAGCTTTTATTTTAATCATTTTTTAACTTAAATCAGAAACCACCCATTACCCAAAGAAGATTGTTCAATAGTCTCGTCTCCCCTTATTTTATTTCCAAACCCATTTTCCAAAACACTACAATTTATTGGAAGATCCACTTCTTTGAGTCTTCTACTTGTATACATTGCGACTATACAAATTTTGCTTTTAGGGGTTTTGGTATTTTTCTCCAGAAAACAGAGTTTGTTTTCCTGTTCAAGACCTCAATAACTCTTCTTCAACTGTAGTATTTTGATTTGGTTTTTGGGATTTACTAAACTTTCCCTCAAAAAGGAACCTGGGTTTTGCTTGAAAGTGGAAAAAAACCAGTGGGTTGTTTGTAATTTAACCATTTAACGCAAGGGAAAAGGAGTAGATAATTTCAAAAGTGCTTTCGTTTTCAAGTTCATCATGTCTGCAGCTCTGTTATGGGTTGTTTCGCCCAATTCTGAGGTCTCTAGTGGGTTCGGATTCTTAGAATCTGTCCGAGAAGGAAACAGACTCTTAGATTCATCCAAATTCAGCCCTAGAGAGAGGACTTTGATTTGCCATGGCAGATTCAAAAAAGTCAAGAAACAAAGCTACAAGATAGAGAAGAAAGGCAATTTTCCTGTACTTTCAAGCATGGTTGCAAACCCTGCTGGAGAATTGGCAATCACATCTGAACAAAAGGTTTACGATGTTGTTTTGAAACAAGCTGCGTTAGTTAAGAAACACCTCAAATCTGAAGAGGAGTATGATGTGAAACCTGATATTGTTCTTCCGGGGACTTCGAGCTTGTTGAGCGAGGCCTATGACCGGTGTGGCGAAGTTTGTGCAGAGTATGCAAAGACATTTTACTTGGGTTAGCTTTCTCTTAATTTTTTATTATTTTTTTTAAAGTGGAATTGTATTGAGGTATTGGTTGAGATTGAATGGTTGTTTGATGTGATTATTTATGAAATAAATATTGATTTTGTTTCGTGTGTTTTCAGGAACGCTGCTAATGACGCCCGAGAGGCGAAGAGCTATCTGGGCAATATATGGTGAGGCTCTATATATCATGTATTAGATTGGTTTGCTATAGAAGTGGAATTGAGATGCTAAGTTTGTTTTTATTTTAGAAATTGTTTGAAAGAGAATTGTTAGAATTCCTGAGTTGGATTTGGAGTTGGGTATTCAATTTGTTAATGTAAATGTAAATTACTACTACACCTACCACCAAACCTACCTCCACCTACTACTCCTATCACCTACTACACTCCACCAAATCTACCCTCCACCACTCACTCCTCACCTACTCCAGAATCATCTCCTATATAATAGGAATTCTTGTACAAAATATATACACAACAATCTTGTAATCAACAATCAATCAATAATATACATCAATTTATTTTACATGGTATCAGAGCTAGGTTAAGAACCTAGTATTTTCGCTTCCCCGGCGGGCGGCAGCCTCGCCTTGGCCGCCCGCCGGACCTCTCATCTTCCAACTATTTCTGCATGCCGGATTTTCATCCATCAAAACCAACACCACCTCGCTGCCGTCATCCACTTCTCCACCACCACCTGCAGCTTCATCTCCGCCGCTGACATCTCTCTCTCTCTCTCCTCCAATCTCTTCAAACACCGAGTCAACTCGACCAACTCACCAGAACTCAGCCCATCAATCCTCTCCCCGCACTCACCGAGTCTAATCACAATCTGTTGCTGAGTTGACCTGTAATCTTCGCCGACCAAATTGACGAATCCGCTAGAATTTTCCACCAGCACTGCCCCTCCTCTGTCTACGATCCCCACCACCTCCGCCGAAAGAACCCTCCAGATTCACACACACGGCATACCTTGGGCGCTGAATACATACCCACATGCATCTGCTCTCGGGTTCTCTTACTATGGAACCACCTCAACTACTGCCGCCGCCGCCGTGTCTTCCTCTGGCCGACGCCGCCGTCGCCTCAAACACACCATCACCATATGCGCCGTCGACAACGCCGCCATGTCCGACCTCCTCTGTGCTTCAGTTCATCTGGTTCACAGAGCTTGTCTGGGTGACCCTCATTCACAGATTCGGAAGTGAATAGGAAAGTTTCCATTCTCTCAAACTGAAGATGATAAAACAAGGATGCGAAGATATAACACAGAGAGAGGTCGAAAGAGAGAACAGAGGAGAAGGATCTGAGGAGCAAACTTGGCTACATCATATCACCCACTCAAACATTTTTAATATTTTACTCGATCCCCACCACCTCCGCCGGAAGAACCCTCCAGATTCACACACACGGCATACCTTGGGCGCTGAATACATACCCACATGCATCTGCTCTCGGGTTCTCTCACTATGGAACCACCTCAACTACTGCCGCCGCCGCCATGTCTTCCTCTGGCCGACGCCGCCGTCGCCTCAAACACATCGTCACCATCAGCTCCGCCGCGCCGGTAATCGGAGATGCCGATCTCCTGAGGCAGATCCTCCTACGGCTACCAGCAAAGCCTCTCCTCCAACTATCAATCCTCCTCGGCCTTCTTGCCCATCGCGGGAGCCATCGCCGCCGACCTCGGCCCCGACGCCGCCTTGTAAAGCGCCCCTGTGCCCAGACCCGCCACCACGCTGTTCACCACATCGTCCGTATCCCATTCCGGTGTAGTATGAGAGGTTTTTCGCCCCAAGCTCGGCGCTGCGCGCTGGCTTCTTCTTGGAAGAGACACTCCTCCTGACCCCATGTGAGCTTTGCGTCACTTTTTTCTCCTCAACAAACACAAAAAAAAAAAAAAAAAAAAAAAAAAAAAAAAAAAAAAAACCCCCCCCCCCCCCAAAAAAAAGAAAACCAATTTCAAACACCAAATTTCAAAAGTAAAGATATAGGATGAACCTCCTCGGGAGAGATTTCGGTGCCGAGAGCTCTCCGAATGGATCTGAGCTCGGAGGAGGAGCTCTTTCCGTCGGAAGAACACTCTCCACACTCTCCAACAGACTGATCATGGAGTTGGGTTTGAGTTGGAGATACACACGGACAATGTCTCTCTCTCTCTCACTTTTCACCCTCTCTTTCCTTTCTTTTTATTTTAATCTTCCCATCCACTACATTTTATCTTTCCCATCAAGCCGCTGTCTGATCCCACCGCCCATCACATCCTTCTTTTATCTTATTTTATTTTCTTTTTAACCCCCTCATCATATTTTATCATCATCATTTTTTTTTTCCCATCATCATATTCTCCCCCATACTTTTTTTTTTCTTTCTTTCTACACACTCATGTTCCCCACTATCTGCTTTCTCCATTCCTATATTATTTTTATTATTCTTATTCTTCAACAAAAAACACAACACAAAAAAAAAACAAAAAAACAAAAAAAAAAAAAAAAAAATAAAAAAAAAAAAAAAAAAAAAACAAATTCCAACCACCATTGCTGTTTTTTCACAAATCCGTATAGAACCACTCTTTCGTTTTGATTCCAATATATTCTTCTTCTTTCTTTCTTTATTTTTCTTTCACATTATTTTTAATCTTTTTCCAATTCCATTCATCCCATATCAATTTGCACACCAAACCTTATTTTATTCATCTCCGGAATCTACTTCCATCCGAAAGTTACCAAACCAAAAAAAAAACAAAACAAAACAAAAAAAAACAAAAAAACAAAACAAAACAAAAAAAAACAAAAAACAAACAAATACACAAACAACCACACCCACAGGCGGGATTTTTCTATCCCTTCTCTACTCTGTCGCCGGTCTCTTCTTTTTGCCTCCCTCCTGGGCGGCCCTTGCCGGTGCTGCTTCCGTGTTTCCCACTCCACTGGGCATGATCACTACTCCCTGCTCCTCCACTGCAGCATATGGCGGACCTCCAAAACAAACTGTCCTTCTACAACGGTCCGACATGACCCCGTAAACTGTCCTTCTACAACGGTCCGACATGACCCCGTAAACTGTCCTTCTACAACGGTCCGACATGACCCCGTAAACTGTCCTTCTACAACGGTCCGACATGACCCCGTAAACTGTCCTTCTACAACGGTCCGACATGACCCCGTAAACTGTCCTTCTACAACGGTCCGACATGACCCCGTAAACTGTCCTTCTACAACGGTCCGACATGACCCCGTAAACTGTCCTTCTACAACGGTCCGACATGACCCCGTAAACTGTCCTTCTACAACGGTCCGACATGACCCCGTAAACTGTCCTTCTACAACGGTCCGACATGACCCCGTAAACTGTCCTTCTACAACGGTCCGACATGACCCCGTAAACTGTCCTTCTACAACGGTCCGACATGACCCCGTAAACTGTCCTTCTACAACGGTCCGACATGACCCCGTAAACTGTCCTTCTACAACGGTCCGACATGACCCCGTAAACTGTCCTTCTACAACGGTCCGACATGACCCCGTAAACTGTCCTTCTACAACGGTCCGACATGACCCCGTAAACTGTCCTTCTACAACGGTCCGACATGACCCCGTAAACTGTCCTTCTACAACGGTCCGACATGACCCCGTAAACTGTCCTTCTACAACGGTCCGACATGACCCCGTAAACTGTCCTTCTACAACGGTCCGACATGACCCCGTAAACTGTCCTTCTACAACGGTCCGACATGACCCCGTAAACTGTCCTTCTACAACGGTCCGACATGACCCCGTAAACTGTCCTTCTACAACGGTCCGACATGACCCCGTAAACTGTCCTTCTACAACGGTCCGACATGACCCCGTAAACTGTCCTTCTACAACGGTCCGACATGACCCCGTAAACTGTCCTTCTACAACGGTCCGACATGACCCCGTAAACTGTCCTTCTACAACGGTCCGACATGACCCCGTAAACTGTCCTTCTACAACGGTCCGACATGACCCCGTAAACTGTCCTTCTACAACGGTCCGACATGACCCCGTAAACTGTCCTTCTACAACGGTCCGACATGACCCCGTAAACTGTCCTTCTACAACGGTCCGACATGACCCCGTAAACTGTCTGCTACAACGGTCCGACACGACCATACAGTGTCTCCTATCCCATTTTTAATTTTATTTGTCAGCTTATTTTTCTGTTTTGTTACTCTCTCCAAACTCAAGTTGGCTAGTACCTATCCTCCTTGAGTTTGAGGGGGGCTGTTAATGTAAATGTAAATTACTACTACACCTACCACCAAACCTACCTCCACCTACTACTACTATCACCTACTACACTCCACCAAACCTACCCTCCACCACTCACTCCTCACCTACTCCAGAATCATCTCCTATATAATAGGAATTCTTGTACAAAATATATACACAACAATCTTGTAATCAACGATCAATCAATAATATACATCAATATTTTACACAATTTTTGTTGCCAAGGTTGTTTATGTGTGTGCTTTTCGTTACTGTAAAAAAAACCCCACACTAATTGGTTTATATTTTGATTAGTGATGTTTTATTATATACACTATTGCCTAATTTGATATGCTATCATGCATCGACAGTTGCTTATAATTTTCATGAGCTAACAAACTATTTCTAGATGAAACAAATTTATTTCGGCAATCCCACTTTTCTGTCTTATTTTTTGTTTTTTTGTTTTGTTTTTTTGTTTGTTTGTTTGCTTGTTTTTTGAGAGGGGCAAATTAAGGGGGGGGGAAAAAATGTAAAAGAGAAGACATTGTTTTGTTAGAATTTTGGGATTGCAGCTTTTGAATCCTGTGCGAAAATAATTTTGATTTTCATTCTCCAGCACACAAAAAAGTGCTTCTGAAATTCCGGTTAAATGGGACACAAAGAGATAGTGAAGATTATAGTTTCTAGTACATATGGACAACTTCCAATAAAGTTGGTTTAACTTTGAAGAACTATATGAGATTAAAAGAAAAAACAAAAAAAACACAAAGATGTATATATTTTGAAGTTCAAGCATAGTTTAAAAAATTTGTCATGAAGCCTGAAATGACTTCAAATTCTCTACTTTGATCTTTTAAAGACAGTATTCTATCATATAATTAGCCATTTCTTAGTAAAATCATCACCGAAGTTGGGATCAATTGTGGTAATGATATGCAACGCGTGTAGCTTGAATGTGAAGAAGATAATTTTATCATCTCTTTTGTTTCTCATTGTTGTTTGTGGTTCATACAGTGTGGTGTAGGAGGACAGATGAGCTCGTTGATGGGCCTAATGCGTCACACATAACTCCTACAGCTTTAGACCGATGGGAATCTAGACTTGAAGATCTTTTTCGAGGAAGGCCATTTGATATGCTCGATGCTGCTTTGTCAGATACGGTTACAAAGTTTCCCGTTGATATTCAGGTTGGCAATTACTCGCTAGTTTCTAAATTTTTGCATGATTTCTGTATGCCATCTCATTGAATTTTAAAACTGTGTTTCACTAAAATGCAACGGCATTTGGAAATGAATTCTAGAAATGAAGCCCAAGTCTCACAATGCCACAACTCTTCTACAAATTTGTTGAGTCCTAAGCTTATCAGAATTACAAGAAAATTTGAAAAGCCAAATCCAACTAGGAAACAACTAAGCAAGCAGAAAATTATGAAAAAAGAAAATTTTGAGTCATGCTCAAATTTAGATACTAGAAAGAAAAAGAAACATTCTAGAAAGACCCTAGTCCAGATTAGATTCATATGAACCAAATAATTGATGAATTATTTTTTTCCAAAAACTGATAAAATTGCGAAATTGAACCAAGTAATTGAAGTCCTATCCATATGTCACAGAAATTGTATCCAAACACTATGCATTAGTCTCAGAATTGTACCGTTATTGTAGCCTTATTTGTTCCCTCAATTTGCTGCGGCATTTCATTTTAGTAGATGGTCAACCAGAGGCGGAGGGAGTGGGGGACCAGGGGGTCACATGCCCCTAAAAAATTATAAAAATATTATTAGAGTGGAATGCCAATGACATTTTAAAAATTAAAAATTATGAGAACAATAATAGTTATTTTGATTAAAAATGAGGAGATTATTATAAACCATGTTATCTATGAAATTTTTTAAATGCTACGGTTATGTTATTATTATTGACATGTAAGTATAATTAATCTTACTATAAAAATATGAAATTTATTGAATTGTTAATTACATTTGACATGTGAGGTTCACCTTCTATGTGTTTATTTACTATCAATTGGTGATATCGCATACTAACGATAACGTGTTATTATCATTATATTGAATTTTTAATCAAATTTTGTATAAAAAAAATTATCGTTATATAATTTTTTTGAAGATTTATATCGATATTTTTTTTTGTCCATAGTACACTAGTTACATATAACATAATTTTTTTGTTATTTCTCGAAATCAATTGTAAAAACTTGCGTGAAATCTTTTTGTAAAATTTTTTGATATTGTAATTAATAAGTGTCCCTTCTAATTTAATTTTTTGGCTCCGTCACTGTGGCCAACGCATGTTAGCTTCAATCTCGAGCACAACATTATTAGCTATTCTGCTAATTTCTCAGTTAATTGTCACTACTCATCATGAATGGCATAATAGCTGTTCATTTTATGGTTTTCAGGACATAGTTCACTGAATAATTAGAAATTTATTTATTGCAGCCATTTAAAGATATGATAGAAGGAATGAGATTGGACCTGAAGAAGTCTAGATACAAGAACTTTGATGAATTATATCTCTACTGTTACTATGTGGCCGGGACTGTGGGATTGATGAGTGTTCCGGTTATGGGAATTGCGCCTGAATCTCAGGCGACAACAGAGAGCGTCTATAATGCGGCCTTGGCTTTAGGGATTGCGAATCAGCTGACCAACATTCTCAGGGATGTTGGAGAAGAGTAAGTACAGAGAACTATGAAGCTTTGAGATATCTTGCAAGTTTTAAGCCTTATGATTTCTAGGCCATAAAAACATATCGATTCATATGTTTGAAGGTGAAGATTGTCTTTGGCATTAACGAGAGAGTCCGGTGCTTTGGGTTCTCTTTTAAACAAAACATGGAGGGGGCTTGTCTTCAGTACCCAATTTTTGGACTGGAGGGTTCAGTTCGTGTGACTATGGGCCTACCTGAGTCCATCTTAGTAAACCGAATCATTCAACTTATAAGGCCCGCCGAGCCTGAGCAAATTATCCATGCTAAAAGCTAGGTTCATTGCACATTGGCAACTATCTGATCATTGGCAACTATCTGATCAGATCACATTTATCATGATTTTGGGAATAAAACATTCATTTTTTTTACATTTTTAAACAGATATAATATGATCACGTGACTATTGATGTTCAAACAACTTGATTTTTTATATAAATTATATGCTTGGTCGATTTTACAAGTTTTAATAATTTGAATCACCAAAAAAAAGTCCAGGGTGAGCCCACAACCATCCAAACTGGACGATCGGTCCAATTTTTGGACCGGAGACAAGCTTGGTCCATAAAATATTCCTTGCATGCCAGAACATGTCTGTAAGATTTGCTACAAAATGCTCTTTTTTTTCCAAAAGAAAAGGAAAAAAAGAAACTTGTTTGTGGATTTTTCTTAGAAGTTTGTTTTGCAACAGTGCCAGAAGAGGAAGGGTATACCTACCACAAGATGAATTGGCACAGGCAGGGCTTTCAGATGAGGACATATTTGCAGGAAAAGTAACAGAGAAATGGAGGAACTTTATGAAGAATCAAATTAAGAGGGCCAGGATGTTCTTTGATGAGGCTGAGAAAGGTGTCACTGAGCTCAGCTCTGCCAGTAGATGGCCTGTAAGTATTCTACGATTCAAACACAGTCTTAACCAATATTTGCGGGAAATATATATAGCACTAAAAATATGAATGAATGAATGAATGATGATTGATCCGATTTTGATGATTGGGTGTAGGTGTGGGCATCGCTGTTGTTGTATCGCCAAATATTGGATGAGATTGAAGCCAACGATTACAACAACTTCACTCGAAGGGCTTATGTTAGCAAACCCAAGAAGATTGTCGCATTGCCCGTTGCCTACGCTAAATCTCTTGTTCCCCCATCAAGATTGTCATTGCTTTCGGCAAAGTCGTCATAGAAATGAAACTCTACTTGGAAATTCAATGTCTCAAAACCAATAATGGAATTATATATATAGCTTGAGAGAAAAATGGCAAAATTTGTATGTATATTAGAAAATTTTTATAATGCAGTAAGAATTCATTAAGATTAGAATAGTATTTTCTGTGTGTTTTCAAAAGGGTTTCTTTAATATAGAGTACAACAGTGATATTAAGTGTTAATTTCATTAATTAATTAGAAATCTAAAATGTGAAATAAGAGAGAATTGGAACCCTGCTCTATACTCAATCTTTGACAAGAAAAAGTTAAATGGTATTAATTAATGCTAAATAATATTGAGGTGCTTCATCTGTTGTTTCTATTTTAAAATGATGAGTGAAGTTAGATATCTCCATTTAATGAAGAGAATAATATTAGGGATCACGAAAAAAATATAATGAAGATGATCATGAAAGATTTTTTTATCTTTGGATTACACATACCATAAAACACCACACACAAATTAAAGGATGAAAAATCTTCATAATACATTTCATAATGTCTTTTTCATGATCCCTAACAATACTCGGATTTAAATATGAGAATTATATTGTTGAGTTGTTGTTGCTGCTGTTTTTATTTTATTTTATTTTTTTGTTTGTGTGGGGAGTTAACTAGGGATAAAAGATGTTAATTTAATATTTTTTATAATTTTTTATTGATCAGTAACACTATTTTAGAGAATAATGTCGGTACTATGCTCAACATTTAATTGGGTGGTTAACATTTAACACCCTGTTGCCAATAATTGTACCAATCAAACAATTTTTTTATTTTATTTAAAAATAAAACATGTTTTCATGAGTGATCTCCCAAACGGCTATAGTGCACTTATTTTTTAATCTTTACACATCACTAGATTATGTGGGATGATATGATTTGCATTCAGTAATTCCTTAATAATTATAGGAGAAATTACAAATTAGTTCATTTATCAAAAAGTTATTATAAATTGGTGACAAAGTTTGTCTTAATTATTAATACTTATAAAGTTTATCATTTATTTATAATTTTTTTTAAAACCCTACCCTCTATTGAAATTTTCCCATAATTATATTTAAACAAGAAAACCAATCATGAGAATCCACGTGAACAATGATACAAAATGATAATATATAATGTTTTTCATATTTTTTGGGAGCCAATCATCTAACTATGCCTCCGTTTGGGAAGTGGGTTGGCTTTTTGGCTTTTTAGCTTTTTTGACTATATGAGCCTGAGCTCAAAAGCTTAGTTTGGGAAAGGCTTTTGGCTTTTTGGCTTTTTTGATTTTTTTGTGAGAGAAGAGTATAATGATTATGGGGTTGGATGAGATGTTTTGTCTGTTGTGGTTCATGAGCCTATTCTGTCTTTTATGGCTCATTGAGCCAAAAAAAGCCCAATGAGCCCTTGCCAAACCAACCCTATCTTTAGGGTCTACTATTTTGATGGCCGAACTATGGGCCTTCAATAGTTGCATTTGCCGTGGCCCAAATCCACTAAACTCAAATTTGGAATTTTTATGGAATGAAATCAATGTTGTAATTGGCCCAGCAAATCCAAGTGCATGCAGTCCAGACTCTTTGGGACACATGGAATGGACTGGTCTCAAATCCAAACATATGAGTTTTAGTTATCAGGCCCGTTTGGTGCAAAGAACAAATTATGAATTACTCCTATAACTTATTCAAAGAACAAATTAAACTAGCATTGAGATTTTGTTTTTTGGTTCAATTAATCAATTGTAAATTTTTGGTGGAATTAATGTTTTGGCTTTTCATGCATTTGCAACCGTTAGTCGTCTTCTTCTTCCTACCTTTTTTTTTTTTTTTTTTTTTAAAAATGGGGTTTTTTCAATAATGAGGTTATCATTCGAGGCAATTGTAAAATGTACAATTTTAATTTTATTTATTTATTGTGATTTGTGAATAGTATTTAAGTTTTTGCACACTCTCATCTACAAAAATGGTTAACTAAATCAATAACTGTGTCCGGAGTTTTTCAAACTTCTTGAAGAGATGAGTTTTAACAAAATGAGATCTTAGACCAAATTTTTACTAATTTATCAGATTATACTTGGCGGAACCAGAATTAACAAGGTAATTTAAGACCGTCATAGATATGCTCTTATTCCGGTTAGTTCATTTTGCTTGGTGTGTGTTAGTGTTTATTTTTCTTCTCCATGCAATGAGAAAATTGCTATTGCATTTCATAGTTTACTCTGAATATTTCTTGTTACTTTTGTGTATATATATATATATATAAAACTAGTGATATGCATCAATTATGTACGGACCGATTTTCGCAATAGAGTAAGATGAAACTTCGTGAATAAATCCTGATGCACCGATGGGTGAAGGCCTGCACAAGGAACAAATGGTTAGGCTGCCCGACCGGGGGTTGGTCGAAAATCCCTCCGACGGTCGAGTTAGTACCAAAATTTGGCAAAGAGAAGGCAGAAAAGACAAGTAACTTTAGAGTGTAAAGAAATCGATTCGCCCTCAAGGAGAGTGAGGTTACCTTTTATAAGGACTGTTTGACTTGCTCACAAAGTTTCTCTCTTCGCCGTTTGACACTCAGCCGAAATGCTAGGTTGCTCCTCAATGGGGAGAGTAAAGAATCTGTTAAGCAATTCCGTTATTCGTGGAAGATCAAGTGCTCCTTCTGTGTATTGGGTGCAAGTTAATTTGTGCGATTGGTTCGTAGTGGACGCTCTTATGGTTGGTTCAACGCATTGATTCACGTTAGTCATCCTCCTTAGTTGCACTCAGCTCAAGTTTGTACTTGGGCTGCGTGGTTTTGCTTATGCTTGGTGCAGAGTTGTAAATGACCATCTTCAAATTATAATATGTAGTTGTCTTTCTGGACTCTATAATGTAAGAGTAGTGCTATACAAATTAGGGTCGGCCCAAAACTTCTTTAATATTTAAATAATATTTATTAATCTTTTTTTTTTTTGTATTTTATTTTCTTATGCAAAATTTATTTCCCAATAGTCAATAAGTATAAAAGGCAATCGCTTAAAATTAAGGGCCTAAAGGTGACCGTCTGAGTGATTTTATTCATTATCTACCCTTGATATTAGGAGTGATTGTGGATTGGGTTGGATCAGGTGACATTTCATTTATTATCTATTTAAAATTTGATAGATTGAAAAAAGTTAATTCGCAGCCGTTCATCGGTTTGGCGGATGTAAATTGAGCGGACCATGCAAGTTAGCGAATGGATGAGATTGATTTGGCAGTTTGGATTTTATAAATTTTGGGCATTTTTTTAAAATTATAATTCATAATTTTTACAATCTCCAATAACTAGTAATCTGAAAAATATGTATTATTTGTCTACAATAGGTCATGGCACCACGCATGTATATTTTTAAGGTATTATTTTTTATTTTTACAAAAATATATATTTTATTATTTCTAGTCTATATTGTTACTTACTAGCAATTTTATAATGAAATTCATCTGCGGGCGGATCGGGTTCATGCGGGCGTGGGATGGTTGATCCGCCATTCGAACCGTATCCATGAGTTTTGAAATATTTCATTCGCATTCATCCGTCGAACAATATGCATCTATCCAAAATTAATCAGGTTAGATCAGTTTGATTGGGTTAGGTGAGTTGGACGCATCCATGATCACTTCTACTTGATACAAACAAAAAATCTATACAAGATTGACATCCATTCGTTGCACTTTTTGTATTCCTCTTTTCTTTAAGTGTACTATGTACGAGTATAAATAAATAATCAAAACTTAGTCTTTAAATTTAATAATAATATAAAATTTATCTAAAATATGTAATAAAAATGATTTATAATTAATTAAATTTTATTCATTTTTATCAAAGTTAGACATTAAAGAAAATTTTTATTTTGATGTCAATAATTGTATGTTCTAAGTTCTTAATAAAAATACATTATCAAAAGTTAAACTGGACTAGCTCATGAACTATGTTTTAGTCTAAAAAATGTAATGGACCATAAAAATTTATCCCAAAAGTGAACGATATAAATTTGAAGTTACTAAGTTGTGACCTTCACTCACAATAGATGTAAACCATTGTTTTTATTTTCTGATTTTTTTTTGGTAGTCAAGTAAAATTTTATGTCAAATTTATTAATTTAAAGTTAATACTTAAAAATTTTAAACTTTACAATGTAATTTTTTTTTCAATAAGATTATGACATGTGTACTTGACTTTTTTGACCAATTGCTAAATTATGATTAAAAGATAAAAAATAATTTAAATATTTTAAAATTATATATGATTTAAATTTTCTTTGGACTATCTTTTTAAATTTAAAATTAAACATAGCTTAGACATAGCTAAAAAAAAATTCTATCTAACCAAAAAGATAGAGCTAAAATTATTTTTTGACATTTTTTTGTACATATTTGTTATTTAATTTGAATTTGAATTTGAAAATTAGATATGGTTTGATAACTCAATAGTTTTAAATTATATTTATTTTTTAGTTTCAAATATTAAAAAAAATTATTAATATTTTGAAGTAAATGAAGTAAATATTTTTATAATTTTAAATTATGTAATACTAAATTTAAATTGATAATTTCCTTTTAAGATTTTCAAATATCAAATTAGATGTGATTTAGTTATGATTAAATTCATTTATTTGACTTTCTATATATAATTTTTTTTTTAAATTTTAAAAAAATATATACGATTAAATTCGCCAATAGTTATATGTCGCTTGTATTTCTTAACTTTTACAATTTTATATTATGCTTTGAAATTCCTAGAGTCTCTTAGATCAAAAATTTCTTTTGCTCGGTAATTGTATATGTGAGAACCCGTATTTAATTATTCTTACAAATGCATTATAAGATATGAATAATAAATTAATTTATTTAAAGACTATTTAATAAATGTATTAATGTATAAATTAGTTAAAAACTATTTCAATTTAGTCTCTAACAAGAATATTGCTAAAGATAAATAATTTTGTGAGTATTCAATATTTTTCATTTGTAACAATTTTTGACTAAAATTCAACTTAATAATTAAAGTCACTAAATGCCTTAATTAAAAACTTTATTTAATTAATTTTTAACTAGTCTACATAAATACATAATGATATAAATTTATCATCCAATTAAAAAAAAAAGGGAGGGGTTCGGTGGGGGTTAATGACCC